CAATTGTTGTCTACATATTGATGCCTTTTTTTCAATTTATTTATCATATAAAATGCAAAAATTAGACATTTATGATCAATTGTGTAGATCTCTCATAAAATGTATATAATATATATGGAATCAATAAGTGTAGTGTGAATCTCCCAGTCCACACTACACCTATAGAATGCCACTATGGGTGTGGACTAGTTTGGCCCACACAATATATACACAATTCAAAATAACTGTGGACTATGGTGTAGTGTAGATTGATCACTGCCACAGGGTGTGGTGTGGACCGGTCCACACCTATCAATTTCTCACCCATACTACAAAACACCCCCTTCTCTTGCTCTCACTTGCTTTCTTCCTCACTTCCTCACAAGCCAAGCCCAATCATTCAACAGCCGCAGCCTTGCATGCAGATCCTTCAGTTTGAAGATCCAAAACACCTAGGTACCAGCAAACATCAAATCAAGAAGAGCACCCTTTTCTGCTTGCTTTCTTTACAGAGTCTAAGAAAGGGTGCTCTTCTTATATAGTGACCATAAAAACCAACTGCTCTTATATTGGATCGTCGTTTGCCTCGCCTGAAGAAGAGCAATCAATTGAACAAGAAAATGCGAGTAACTGAATGAATCGGAAAGCAAAAAAATACCTTGATGCTTTCAGGCTCGGCCACTACAGTAGACGGAGAAGAAGATGAGATGCTCTAGCAACTATTGCAGATGATGGCCTTCGAGGAACTTTCGGAGTGACGGGGCTTGGGAGAGAAGGTGAACCAACAAGGTAAGGGAAGAAAGAGGAAGATCTTGTGGTATTAGCAAGAGTGGCATTTCCGGTTGTCATCATAGTTGTTGTTGCCAACAATGCTAGTGCGAACGAGGAGCTCAGACTCAAAGCAAGCGCCATGGATGCCCCAACTTCATTGCAACGCCAATTTTGACAGTTTAATTAATAACAAACCACCACTATGAAGACAAAAGAGATCCTGCTCATGTTCCAGCACATCATTTCTCAAACCCTGCCTGAACTCGTTTCGGAGACACGTCTCCTCCGCGTCGCAGCCGAGATAGCCCATGCAGTAGTAGGTTTGAGTGGTTTGGTTTGGTGCCAGAGTTGCTTGTTTTCTTGGGTTTTGCCGATATTGAGTGTAGGCACGAGCGGGAGCAGTCCGTTGCGCTTTGGTTTGAAACTCTCTAATAGAGTTTCCGCTCCCAATCTCATTGTGACAAAAGGGTATTTTAGAGATTTTGAAAAGAATATATCAATCACGTGATGTCATACGGTTATGATGAAAACTTAAAGGTGGGGATGTTTTAGACAATTGTAAGAAACAGTAGAGGTACTTTAAGACAATATGATTTAGTTAATTATTAAAACATAAGGGTAGTTGAAGAAATATGCCCCTAAATAAAATTAAATTAAAACAGAAAAAGAATATCATACTCCACGCTTCTTAGCTCCTAATGTTCTCAATGGTTTGTAACTATTAGTCTCTTCTTAGCTCCTACACTTGGGATCATACTCCAAGTTTCATTTTTCATCTAATCTACTATTGTCTTTAAATTATTGGTAAATTACAAAGACCCCCCTGTACTATGGGGTCTCTGACAAAGACCTCCTGTACTTTGTTTTGTGACAAAGACCCCCCTGTGCTATGACTGTGAGATAAAGACCTCTTTCCGTTAGTTTTCCATTGAAATCTGTTGTTGCAATATTTTTTTTATCCCCATACCACCCTTCTAATAAGAACAATTGAGAGAAAAGCACCGTTCATCTTCTTCGACCTCATGATACCGAACAACAGTTATTTACAGCTCCTCCATAGTTGGAGGGTGTTTGCTATTACCCAAGAAACGACTGATGGGTTTGCACCCTGAACTGCCTTTGCACCGACTAATAATCTTCGTGAGCTTAATTTAAATCAATGATCAAATGACAAAAACAAGAAACATAACAAATAATACTCTTTTTCTCCGCCTTTCAAACTAATTTCCCACACAATTATAACGTTTTTCACTCACCCATAAATCCCTAATTTATAATTGTTGATAGAAATTTCATGAACATAGATCCAGTTACGATCCTTATCATTATGAGAAACCCACCACATTACTCAACCAATAAATCTTTCTATGAAAATTTTCGGAAGCCCCAAGCTTCTCCCTTTCCATTGATATCTTATGATATATATATATACAAATTCGATCGAAGTTCTTGCTCCACAAAACTTTCTAAAAACCAGCTCCTAATCCAAAAGAAAATACAAAACTTCTAAATCCTAACTGTACAAGGAATATACAAATCTGGGATAAGGATGAGCCTTCAAATCCGGGATGAGCCTTATCTTCGTCCAATACTCCCCCTCAAGGTGGTGCATGAGGATTGTGAATGCCCAGCTTGGGAAGGAAAAAATCAAACTGTTTTTGTCCGAAAGCCTTTGTGAAAATGTCAGAAACTTGTTCACCGGTACGGACATAGGAAGGCGCAATGGTGCCGACTTGGAGCTCATTGTGAATGAAATGACAATCAACTTCAATATGTTTGGTTCGCTCATGGAAGACAGGGTTTGCAGCAATGTGCAGAGCAGCTTGATTGTCACAAAACAAGCGTATAGGTTGAGGATGAGATATACCCAAAGACGACAGCAGACCTTTCAGCCACTTCAACTCACAACTAGCAGTAGCCATTGACTGGTATTCAGCCTCGATAGAGGACCGGGAGACAGTATGTTGTTTCTTAGTCGTCCAGGAGATGGAGGAATGTCATAACATGACAAAGTACCCAGTAAAAGAGCGACGAGTTAGAGGGCAACTTGCCTAGTCGGAATCACAATTGCAGATCACCATCAAAACGCAAAAATATTCCTTGACCAGGACGTCCTTTTAGATAACGAACCACACGTAATGCCACATCCCAATGATCAACACGAGGACACTGCATAAATTGAGCCAGGACATGGATGCAATAACTGAGCTCCGATCGTGTAATGGTTAAATAAATCAAACGGCCCACAAAACGTCGATATCGTTCAGGGTCATCCAGGAGTGCTCCGTCAGTAAGGGCAAGTTTATCATTCTGAGTAATAGGAAAGGGAGCAGGTTTGGACCCCAATAAGTCAGTTTCTGTAATAATATCAAGTGCATATTTTCGTTGGCAAAGAAATATCCCCGATGATCTGCGAGTCACTTCAATGCCCAAAAAATATTTAAGAACACCCAAGTCCTTCATGTGAAAACACCGGTTCATATACTGTTTAAATTTGTGTATGAACTCCGGGTTATTCCCACCAACGATCAAGTCATCAACATAAACCAGGACGTGCAAGACAAGCCCATTCTTGTGATATGTAAATAAGGAATAATTGGAATAGGACTGTTCAAACCCAAAAGTTTTCAAGGCAGCACCTAACTTAGAGAACCAGTTCCAGGGGGCTTGCCGCAGACCATACAAAGATTTCTGGAGTTTGCATACCTTTCCAGTCCCGGAGGCCGAAAAACTTGGAGCAGGTTTCATATAGACCTCCTCATGGAGATCACCGTGCAGAAAAGCATTGTGGACATCCATCTGATGCAATTCCCAATGTTGGGTCGTAGCAACTGCTAAGAAGGTTCGAACTGTGACCATTTTAGTCACTGGGGCAAAGGTCTCGTTGTAATCAAGACCTTCAACTTGAGTGTTGCCTAGGACTACCAACCGTGCTTTAAATCTTTCAATGGATCCATCAGAGTTGTATTTGATTCTGTAGACCTATTTACACCCGATTGTCTTTTTTCCAAGTGGGAGGTCTTCCAAGGTCCATGTCTCATTGTCTTCCAAAGCCTGTATCTCTTGGCGCATAGCCTCGCGCCACCGAGCATCAGTCATTGCCTCAGAGAAACGAGTAGGTTCTCGGCCTGCAGTAACAGCTGCCAAGAAATGTCTGTGTTTCATAGAAAAATTATCATACGTCATATATTGAGTTATGGGATAAGGAGTACCTGAGGACTAAGATGATGCAGGAGAAACAGCGGAGGGGTCTAAGCGATGAGCTGAGTGTGTGACAAAGTCCTGTAAATAGCTGGGGGTCCGCTTTTCTCGATGTCTACGGCCTAATACCTCCGTGGTGGGCTGAGGAGCAGCTAGAGTTTCATTATCTCTGTAATCTGTATGGCTCCTTGTCTCATCAAGAGGACCTCCCTCCTCATCATTACCCATGTTCGGATGTCCTTCTTCATCGATCATGGCACTCCCCCTGACTTCTATATGAGGTGACTCAAATACCATGTCAGGAGGAGTGGCCCAAGGCAACCCAATATTTTCTTTGGCTACGGGAGGACTGGTTACAGAGGATTGATGTTCCGGAGTGGCAAAGGAAAACTCGGCCTACCTAAACACCATGTCTCGTGAGATGAAGTAATCACTAGACTCAAGGTCGTACAATTTCTACCCATTTTTCCCAAAAGGGTACCCAATAAAGACACATTTCCTACTCCTAGCGGTAAACTTGTCATGGTCCCGAGTATGCGAGAAACATAAGCAACCAAAAACTCAAAGATGTTTATAAGGACTTTGTCCAAATAGCATCTCGTAAGGTATTTTACCACCAAGAAGGGTCGAAGGTGCCCGGTTAATCAAGTACCCTACGGTTAAAACACACTCACCCCAGAAATTGATCGGAAGATGTGCTTGAAACCTGAGCACTCTAGCCATATTCAAAATATGATGATGCTTTCTCTCCACACGACCATTTTGTTGTGGTGTCCCAACGCAGGAAGTTTGAAATAAAATTCATTGCTCGTCAAAATATGACTTCAAGGGTTTAAACTCTATTCCATTATCACTTCTCACCACCTTAACCTTCTTATTAAATTAACGTTCAATCATGACATAGAAATTTTTGAGTTTTTTACCAACTTCACTTTCTTCAGCCAGCAAATAAATCCAAACCGCTCGAGAATAATCATCAACAATTGTCAGAAAATATACCGCACCACAAGATGCAGGTACTCTATAAGCACTCCATAAGTCACAATGAATTAATGCAAAACAATCAGTCACCTTATTGCTGCTTTGAATAAAAACATCTCTAGTTTGTTTTGCCTTCAAACAAACATCACAGGTTTCGTTCTTATTATTACTGATATTAAGAAGTTAATCGTTTGATAAGAAGGGTGTCCCAATCTCCGATGCCACAAATCGCATGACCCAATTCCATCTGTCTTGTAAGCTCGAACCGGTGCCACACCCTTGAAGACATAGACCCCATCAAGCTGTTCACCCGCGCCAATCAGAGTCCTCAAGATGTAGTCCTGTATCACACACAACTTATTAGTAAACGTCACAATATAATCTGTGTCACGAAGTAACCGACCTACTGACAATAAATTACAATTGAGTTTTGGGACATATAATACGTGCAGCAATTTAAAATTATTTCCAAGTTCAACGGTGCCTTCTTTCACGGCCTCGGTGTGCGCACCGTTGGGTAACCTAACAGGACAAGGTGCAACATCATAGGTGTCGATGAGCACATTTAAATTCCCTGTCATGTGATGTGACGCCCCAGAGTCAACAATCCATTTAGTGGAGTAATTCTTACCAGAGAGTTTTTCATTAGTCCTGGTTTTGTAAGCATTAAGCATGCTTACAAGAGTCTGTCATTTTTCGTCATTAAGCCCATTCAGTCCAGTCCTGTCTCCGTCAGTCACGACTGCATTAGCAGCCACCTCACGCCTTGCTGATGACTAAGCAACATGAGCCTTTGCCGTACCTCGGCCACGTCCACTAGAGGGTCCACCCCCTTCTCCTCATCCTACTCCACGCCCGGTCGACTTACCGCGGGGTCTGTCTCCCCACCAATCAGGGTATCCAATTAATTGGAAACAATTTTTTGCTTCATGGCCAGATCGACCACAATTGTTACACACAATTGTTTTGTCTTTTGAATCAACTCTACTGTCTCACGATGTTTGCGAGGCTTGTGCTGCAAACTAACCGGACTAATAATAACTCCATGATTATCTGATGGATGCAAATAGAAAGGAGAAGACAGTCCAACAGACTTACTCGAGCTCTCACCGTTCTTCTCGGTGTTGGCAGCCATGGTGACCGATCAGCAAGATTCGTCCGAGCAAGAAACACGTCGAGATGGACAATCCTAACGAGGCTCACGAAGAAATCAGAACAAGCAAGCCCGCCGATTCCGAGTCAAACCCGAGCTCCTTTCTGTTCAACTCTTCCTTCTCCCTGAAGGCGTACGACAAGCTCTTACCTCTCTATAAAATTGTAGGATGAAGATGTGGGAATGGCAAGTACACGCTGTGGACAACGATCTTGAGGTTGTGCATCACGTCGGGGATCTTGATCCGGACGTAGTTTATCCTCATTGGAGTTGGTCCTCCTCCGGCAGTTGCAACCACCAAATTCTGATCGTGCTCCAGCAAAGGCAACAGCGTTCCTGCCGGAAGCTTAGAAAGGCCGGTAGATACTACAGACCACTTCTGTGATGGAGCACCTTAATAGCAATAGAGGGAAGAAGATCAAGCTTAACAAACTATGATGATCATCAATTTCCATTGTCGCCTTGATTTCCGGCACGGGAGGAACTGCACAGCTACCGTCGTTCTCCAAAGCGTCGCAAGAACCAGATGTTCTCACACTTTCACCAACGTTTCTTGCTGGAAACATCCCACCGTCGCCAATCACTGCTATTGAGTCCCATGCTCTGATACCATGAAATTTTTCGGAAGCCCCAAGCTTCTCCCTTTCCATTGATATCTTATGATATATATATATATACAAATTCGATCGGAGTTCTTGCTCCTCAAAACTTTCTAAAAACCAACTCCTAATCCAAAAGGAAATACAAAACTTCTAAAACTTCTGAGTGCTAACTGTACAGAAAATATACAAATCGAGGATTAGGATGAGCCTTCAATTCCGGGATGAGCCTTATCTTCGTCCAATATTCTAAGTTACCAGTGAAGCCAGAGACCAATTTAAAGAAGCAATTGCCCTGATTACAAGGGGAAGCAAAAACCCTAAACTAGGTATGCATGACAAAGTCATGAACAAATAGAATGATACACAGATGTCGCTGTCATGGAAAATAGAGAGATCGGAAGAAATACCAGCCAGTGCCAACCGCCGAGTCCAACAGCCCTTTTGACAACCCCTTGCAGACCCACCAAAACAGATTTTGTCCGGTTGTTCCCTGTAACAATGACTTTCGTGTGCCGAGGAAGCATAGACAACTCTTCATCACCGCTTTCTTCGCGGAAAGGAGACAGGAAACGGGAAGAACATTCCAACATCTTTTTTGATCTACTGTGTTACCTCCCAACTATGCAGATGAAATATTCTCAATTAATCAGAAGAGCAGCAACGCCAATGACTCGACCACCATGATCCGACCCCCAGTGTTCAGAACTAATAAATCATATGATTTGGTTGAATTGCCCATCAGCAACCCATCGTTTTAAGTTGGAAGGTTCTCTCCAAAACTAAAACTTGAGTTTCAAACACCCTCCATAGTTGAAGGTTCTGAATAGCTCCTTCACGATACACAACATAATATAAAGCTTCCCCGACCCACAACCAAAAGCAAGGTTTTTCAGCCGAGCAGCTCCTCCATAGCTCGTATTCAACATCGTCGTCTCTGTGGCAAAAAGCCCACTTGTTCTAGACTCATCGGCGTACGAGTAATCGTAGCGGCAAGTACTGTGGAGGCGAGTGTGGTTAAGGGCTGGTGTTTCAGAGGGTGAGGGACGAGTTGACACGCTGAGCCGTAACAGTGGATCGGAGCAAATGTGGTTCAATGGCGAGCCAAAAAGGCCGAGCCTGGAGGGTGTTTGCTACAGTTTCAGCAAGCAGAGCACTTGACCCAGACGAGATCGTTGCCTGTATCCGCCCCAAGGAGGAGGCTCTGAGGTGGGGTTCCGATCCTGAAATCGACGAAATACTGGCCGGAGCCCGTCGATGCGCCGGAAACAATGGGAGCCTTGAAGGCTCTACGGCTGCGCAGGGCCAAGACAAGAACAGAGAGACGCTCAGAGTCCAAAGAGAGAGTTTGTGTTGGGGGGTTTCTGTGAAGCAATCGTAGTTTCAAGTATTCCACTTAGCTGCTGTTGTTGAATTTGAGGTGAAGGGGAAGGGGAAGAAGAGAAATCGGGGGAGAGAAATGGAGAGAAATATACGAAGGAATTTGAGGTAAAAGGGATTACGTCCGCTGTTGTTCGTATATCATGACATCGGGGAAGATGTATAATGTTTTTTTCCTAATAAAAAATATTGCAACGACGACGGATTTCAACAAAAAGCTAACGGAAATTATCTCACGGTTATAATACAGGGAGAGTCTTTGTCGCAAAACAAAGTACATAGAAGTCTTTGTCAGAGACCCAGGGGTCTTTGTAATTTACCCTTAAATTATATTAATCTTTCTTGTTTGATGTTACAATAATCGACCCAACTTCAGCAGTTATTAAATGGCCCGTATGGATGATTAACATCTGTTTTGATGGCAATGGACCTTAATGCGGCAATCAAATTACTATTATCATAGGAACTAGTAGTAGCCCTTTCAAACTGTATTTTATCTGGTTGTGGGGATTAACCAACTTATACATGCAAAAATAGACACTTCAAAAGCAATATCATTAGGGCATTGTGAGTAGTTTTTCTTTGGGCTGTGTTTGGTTTGATCGCAAATAAGAGAGAAACAGAAAGTTGAGGAAAAGCTGTCGAGGAATTTCATAAATTTTGTTAAGAACTATCATAAATTTTCTATCAAACGAAGCATAGCCTTGGGGGGG